AACTTGTCCCTCGCCCCACTCCCCCCACCCCCTCCCCGACACACACACACACACACACACACACACACACACTTGAGACTGAATGGAAGAATAATTGAAAACATTCAACTTTAAATAGCCAGGGAATCCGAAATACTCTTCCAAGTGAGTATGGCAAACCAGGTCTGACCTCATGTATAAAATCTAACCATACTCAGGAGGGGGCTTACCAAGGTCAATATTTAAGACAGGGAGCCAGCCTTAAACCTCCCTTGTGAAACCGTCATCCTGCAAAACCATCTGCCTATTTCAATCATTGTTCTAAATGCCCAAAGGTGCAGAAATCTTCGTGTTGTTAATTGTTTCTAGTTCCCTTTTCAGTGGCTAGGACTCACTCTGTTCACTGAACATTCTCAGAACACACTGCAGCCCTAGCTTGGAGCTGCTAATGTGAAGTGAAACACAATTTCCCCTTTCTCAGGAACAAACAAAAAGGGCAAGACTTCGGGTTTCCCCCTGTCTATCTCCCCAAACAAAATTTTCATCTCCTTGGACCAGATTCTAGTACTGTTTCAGTATTATTTTCTCACCAAATACAGAACTTGTCTGCTCTGTGGTGGGAGAGGGCATTTTCTTTTTCTCTCAGTGGCTTCCTTGCATTTCTCTTCTTGCTTCAGCTCAGAGTGGCGTCTGAGCGCACCCCATGGCGCACCCCAACTGCTCAGCTGCCAGCACAGTGGTGGAGACAGCTGTGGGCACCATGCTGACAGTGGAGTGTGCTCTGGGCCTTACAGGTAATGGTGTTGCCCTCTGGACCTTCTTTTACCGTCTCAAAGTGTGGAAGCCTTATGCAGTCTACCTGCTCAACCTGGTGGTAGCTGACCTGCTGTTAGTCACCTGTCTGCCACTCCTCGCTGTCTTCTATCTGAAGGGTAAGACCTGGGAACTTGGTCATGCACCCTGTCAAGTCCTGCTTTTCCTGCTGGCCTTCAGCCGTGGTGTGGGTGTAGCCTTCCTGATGATGGTGGCTCTAGACCGGTATCTGCGTGTGGTACATCCTCGGCTCAGAGTCAATTTGCTGTCTCTAAGGGCAGCCTGGGGCATCTCTAGCCTAATTTGGCTTCTCATGATTGCCCTCACTCCCCAAAACCTGCTCACTCACAAGGCTCTCCAGAATTCCACCAAGTGCCCCAGCTTCTACCCCATCGGAGACATGGAGGCCAGTGCCACCTGGCAGGAGGTACTCTTCTTCTTTCAACTCCTGCTCCCCTTTGGCCTCATCTTCTTCTGCAACACTAGGCTCATCAGGACCCTGCAGGAGAGACTCCGAGAGTCTGACAAACAGCCCAGGCTCCGGAGGGCCAGGGCGCTGGTTGCCACGGTGCTCCTGCTGTTTGCACTGTGCTTCCTGCCTAGTATCCTGGCCAGAGCCCTGGCACTCATCCTTTGGGAATTTGACAGCTGCAGTGTCCAGCAAGCCATAACGCAGGCCTCTGACATCGCCGGCAGCCTTACCTGCCTGCACAGTGCTTTGAGCCCAGCCATCTACTGCTTCTCCAACCAGGCCTTCACCCACTCATACCGGAAGGTGCTCAGAAGCCTTCGAGTCTGGAGGAAGGCAGCAGAGCCAGCTAGCTCCAACCACAGGGACTCCTATTCCTGACGATTATTGGAATCCTCAGCTCCCCTTTGTTCAGGAACCACCTTGAATCTAAGCAATAACCCAATAACCTCAGGGTCAGAAGGGAGAAACTGCACTACAAAGATCCAGACACAAAGTCAGTTAATGCAGTGGCACCCTTGGCTCACCTGGATTTCCCCTGCTTCGGTCACACTGCAGAGGGGCAGACTTGAATCATCCAGGCAGGCCCTGTCTCCTTTGCATGGTGGTTGACCAGACGGAGCTGCCAAGCTGAGAGGAGAGGTTGAGCACTTCTGCATATCCACACAGAAGATTCCAACAGATTGTATCAGCAGAGGAGAAGGCTGGTGTTGCCCCAGCACCATCTGGTCTCTTGGGTCAAGTTCGCTTTCCATGTGTGAGAAACTGCTCTCTTCTTACCCACCATGGAGCTGAGAACAATGGAAGCCAGCAATTCCTGAGGTTCTGAAGAGGTTGCAGGTCATGTTCTGTTTTTATAAAATTCTTCTTTGTTTTTATAGGTTTTATGGAGTGTCACAGACAATTCAGCAAGGCTACGTCATTCACTGTAGGAAATACCTGAGATTGCCTCAAAACTGACCCAGAAGTTCTAGCTTAGCTTTTAATGTCTGAATGCTTTTTTACTTTCCCTGCCCTGCTTTGAGAGCGATGCCACATCCTTACCTCAGTCCTGGGGAAAGACACTTGCTTTTGAAATGGTACTTGAAGCAAGCCCCCAGGGGAACCTAAGGGCTGGCAGACCATGTCATGGGACTGGTGTCACCTCGGTCCTAGAGCACACAGGGACAGCTGGTGAGAAGGAGGATTTGAAAGCCACTCTGCTTCATCTGCTACCATGCTCATCTCTAGAAAGGCAGCTAAGAACAAGGAACACCACAATGCTTGTGGTGGCACCTACTGCCTACTTGGGATGTTCTTGCAATGACCATGGTATTCACATAGGCATCCTGCAGTGTACCCTGCTTGATGACAAAGCTGATGGCATTGGCAACAGCATTTCTACTCACAGGGTTCCCTGCCTGCTTGGTAGATTCCTTGTTGGCAACCCATCCGAGACATTATGCAGAAGGATAGAAGCATTCCATAGACCAGGTGGCCTATCAGACTCTGTTCCCGGGGAATGAGGACTGTGCGACAGCACTTCTCAGACTCAGTGTTCCCGGGGAATGAGGACTATGAATCAGTACTTCTCAGACTCAGTGTTCCCAGGGAATGAGGACTGTGCAACAGCACTTCTCAGGCTCAGTGTTCCCGGGAAATGAGGACTGTGCAGCAGTACTGTTTTGCAGGATTTATTTCCTCCTGCTGGAGCAGACTGTCACAGGCCTGAGACAGAACTGCAACCTGACCAGTCTGTGACTGAAGTCTGTTGCATAGATATGTGTGCTGCTGTGCCCACTCTCTTCCCTTTCACCGGAGGACAAGCACCTCCAGCAGTTTAAAGGATGCTTTAAACCCTCCATTTAACATAAGCATTTTCTTTGTTATGTCATTATTGCTAGCCCTCTCCTGCTCTTGGACCTTTGCGTCTGTGACGGCACTTACAACAGGTATAGCGAATGTGATGGCGTCCTCTGAACCATCACTACTGTTACCTACAGTGGCAGGGGCTGCAAAATAGCTCATCCCCATTCTTTGTGAAAGCTTGGCTAGTCAGGTGTGGGGAGGTCCAGGACCCCAGCCTTCCTTCCCAGTCTTGGGCTCCGTTCTCACTCTAGTGCTGCTGCCTCTGCCATCCCTTGCTTCTATCCTGCCTGCTTATCAGTAAGCTGGGCTGTCTTTGGGACATCCTCAGTACAACATTCCTGCCCTCAGGGTCCTATTGCTTTCTGCCCCCTCAGCAGCCGCAGAGGAAGAAACCCCAGTGCCGTAGCCAGGTAGGGACGGTCCAGCTCAGCTGGACTAGATGGGGCAGCCCCCTACCTTAAATCTATTCATGTGTATCCTGGGCTAAAAACAACTGGTTTGATGGCTATGGGAGATCTTGGAGATAGCGTCTTGCTCCATCTCTTAGTTCTGTGGCCTGGGACACAGAAATTTTTGTCTGTACCCATCTTCGAAATAAGGAAAATAACATCTACAAGGAATCCTTGTAGGGATTAAATAACACCCAAAATTTGCCATGCAGAGTCAGTTATGTCCCAATCATTCAGTAGACATCACTTTATTCATCTCTCACTTCTGTCTTCCTTGTTCACTTCCCATCCAGTCTGTGGCCCTTGGGGATGTTTTTCAACCACAAGTCCTCATGCAGAACCTGGCATACAACTGGTGCTTGTGATGAGAGAGTTGCAAAGTTCACTTACAGCAGTCTCTCTATTCCCTTTGGGTAACCACACTTTATAATGTCCCTACCTGGCTTCATCTCCCACGCCCAGAAAAGGGGTTTCTCTCGCCCAGGGTCAGGACAGCTACCTCTGAGGACATTTGCTGAGTCAGAGATGGATTCATTGTGGACGCACCTTCCAGACCAGCCTCCCTGCACACCATCTGAGTGGGGGATGAGCCAAAAGAAAAGCAGGGGCAGTCATCAACAACAGGTCTCAGGGCTTTAGGTGTGGCTGGGGACAGTGGCTGTGCCTTTTGCTGGTCTCAGGGGCAGGACTGCAGTCTCTCCTTGAGCTAGCAGCTTCTCCACTTGGCTAGATTCTTGAATTTCTGGGATAGACAGCACAATGCTAGCACCACAGCTGCTTACGGCTTCTGTTGTCTTGTCATGTCTCTGGTTCTGCTGAACATCAGCCAGGCTTGTGCATTTTGACACCTTTCTAGAATATCCCTGTTTCCTGCTGGTCTCTGGCCTCAGAGTCGGGGACACTCCTTTTGTGGAAGCCACCTGGACAACATCTCCATCTACTAACTGACACAGCAGGGACTCACCCCTGACACCCCACATGTACTGCTTTTTACCCACATTCTTCTCTTGCAGCCAGAGCACCCAATTCACTCTTCACCCCTAGAGCTCTCTGAGAGCACACATGGGGGCCACTTCACAGATGAAAAGGAAAGAAGATGAAGCAGAGGCAAACAGATTAGCCCTATAACAAATGAGTTCAATTACTTAGCAGACTGTTTTTTTTTTTTTTTTTTTTTTTTTTTTTTTTATTTTTTTTTT